GTCTGCGGAACAACAAACCAGCTCGGCGAGCCAACCAACCTCAATCGGGCAGTATGCTAAGGCAGTGGGAGGATGAGTTCAGTTCATGTAAGCAAATCTAAAATTAAAAGTATGTAGTACCATTAATGGTGACAATGAAAATGGTGAATTATTGTTAACGCCCAAGTGGTTTACTAAGTGAAGGAAGTTTGATTTTGATTTGTTTAATTTTGAGCTGCCCTGTGAAATGTTAAAATTAACCAATCAGAGATGGGCAATAAATGCCATGACATCCACATGCCATGAATGAATATTTAAAAATCAAGTATTCTTTCCAGATCTTGTCATTTCAGCAATGCATGCTACTGTACAGGGGATGAATTAGATTCTTTGATCCTGTGATGTATTTTATAGGAAAAAAATGTTGAACAAGTAGTACTGACAACTCTCTGGTGCTTATTACTTAACGTTTTAGAATCAAAAAATTGTTTATTATCTTATTGTATTTTTACAGTTGCTCTGTATTTGCCCTGATCAATGGCTTTCATTCTGGTTAATACATTAGAGTTTAATTTTGTATACATTGACAAGTATCTTGAAAATGGCTGCAAAATTTGAGCAGTATGTACTTAAGAAATTTGCAGTTTTCAAATGCAGATATTATGTAGATGCTGAGAATGGTTCACATTTGGAATTTGCTGCTTGTGCTTTTACAATTACAAATGACTTTCAGTGACTTATCACCTTTTATTGTGGAGTATTATGCCACTTGCATTTCTAATTATTTTCTACAAATTAATTTCAGATATAACACTACAGTGGCTCATTCAACATTCGAAGACCAAACGCAGCTGAGAATGAGAATGTTGATTTCTTGATCACCCAGGACCTGCCATAGTTAACCCCGACCTCCTTCCCTGGAAAGAAAGTTTAGAAAGCTGTCCAACAACACAGAGGTCAAATTAAAGTTTTTATCACAAGAGAGTGTACAATATTATTTTGCACTTTTTTTATGTTTTTATATAATTAAGCTGAGTTACTAAATCTGATTGTGAAACTTAATAATTTACCCACTGTCTGTTTGAAAAGGGTTTTGTTATTGTATAAATGGGATGTTTTTTTTTAATATGCATGCTTTTAAAGCCCCGTTGTAGGAAGAAACTCCTTTTATCAGAATACTACAGTTGTTGCTGTTGAGGAAGCACATTTACAGTTCATTGCATTAACTGAGCATGCTCAGGGGATTTGTGCAGTGGATAATTGTTATATTGAGTAAATATGAATTTATTTCATTACTCCACCTAACAAGCCTAATCTTGTTATTTGCACCTCAAAAACAATTGTGGGTAGTCTGGAGCTACTTGAAAAAGTGAATGCATTTTTATATATTAAAAAGAAGTCAATGAAGGTCATCTACAGAGAAGCCATAACTCTTGTATCTTTAATTGTGAGATGTTCTAGATGTCAATACAGAAGATCCCATCCAATGAGTGCCTGTTGCTGGAAAATGATGGAGAGAAATGGTGCGGTCATCATATACATTTAAGGTGATGAATGTTTTACTGATTCATTACAATAAAACTTGCAACACCTTTCCAATAAATAGGGATTTGTATTTGCAAATGCCAGGTATCAGGACTAAATGTGCACTTAACCATCTGAAGTTGCTAAATGATTGTTGCTTACAAGATCTACTATTTGAAGAAGATATTAGAGGGAGTAACATAGCCTTAAGTTAAAGTATGTATGATTTAGTTTACTGATTAGTGGTGGTACTGTAACTCAAAGCATGTTATTCAGTTTGCCATTTTCAATAATAGCAAATGGTGGACAGTGACAGTGAATTGCTGTGGTGCAGAGAGGTGTTATTTGGCCCATCGTGCCTGCACTGGCTCTCTGATGAACTCAATACATATGAAGGTGTAGTTGGTATCTCTCTCTGTTATTTGACATGTAACGTGCATTGTCACCTTTTTAAGGGTTAATACTATCACTAATCCAGTGAAGTGACTTGAACCAGCTTTCACTGATATCCTTGCCACATACAATAAATTATATTTGTGCTTAAAAGCTGAAATCTGATTCAAAGATTTTTTTGATATGCATGTAGTTTTTTAAAAAAAACAACATTAAAGCATAGAAATCTACTCAGGATGGGGAAATGAGACAAGCTACTGTCTGCTTTTTAATTTCTCTTGCTTTTTTGCCTGCATGGTTCCTTAAGTGTTTAAACTGCTGCTGTATTAATAGCACATCTCTATTGTTGCACATTGAAGTAGTTTTACTTTTGACAGGTAACCTAACGGGTGATGAGCTTTTTTTTTTTGTTGTGACTTGCCTTTTAATAAGTTTACAATCTGTTTTAAATTGCAGTTTTGTACATACAGATTTAAACCAAATCGTTGAAATTTTTAAAACCTACAAATTTGTGATAAATATTGTACTAGATAGTAATTTGCTTTCATACAGGTACTTGGCTGTAAGAGCTAATGGTTAGCAGTGTTTGCTATTGTATAAGGCGAATGACGGAATAATAGCTTGTAGTATGTTTTTCTTGAACTGTGACTGGTTTTAAGTGAATCCTTTATCCTGCAGTTTTAAGAAACCGATAAATAATTGAAGCTAATGCATACTGTCATACATAATAGTTTGTTGACTTGTACAGTCAACTTGTCAAATGATTGTCCTGTGGGTTATTGATGTGCTGTTGCTCTTGTCATTTGATGAAGCTAATGCTGTAATAAAGACATCCACGCAAAATTTGTGCCTTTTCTTGTATCGTCACACAGTGAGAGTCATTTGTCTTCTGTGTATTTTCATCCTTAATTGAAATTAATCTAAATTTGGAATTTTCAGATGTATTCATAGAGTAGGCCTTGTCTCAGACTTGATGACATGCTTAGAATTGTGTACTTTTGCTCATTGGGTTAAAAGTTGTGCAAGCACTTCACTTTCCGACTTCGTGTAATTAGATGTGTCTTTATTTTTGATCACTTCATATTAAACAATATTCAATGAGCAACTTGGATTTATACAGCATGGAACAAAGAAAAAATTCTGCAAGTCACTTTACTGTACAAAAGCAGATGTTGAGTTAAAGGAACTTATGAGAAGGGGTTGCAAAATGTTTGATTCATAAGTTGGGTTTCAACAAGAGCCTTAAAGGGGAGATGGTGGTAGAGAAACAGCAGCACTTAGATGTGGCCTTGGTTGACTAAAATCATGCTGGCAACGAGGGAGCAAAAGAAAGCTGGAATAGTACCGTTTGTCATTGTAGACAGAATACGTAGGTCAGTTGAGGTCCCTTTTAAATTAGTAAGAGCACAGTGAAAGCAAACATACTTAAAAACAAGAAATGCTAGAGCTAGAAAATATTGAAGCCTGATATTGTGGGGTGGAGGAATGCGATAGATGCTAATTTGTATGTGGTCAGTGATGTTCACACAGTTGGATATAACTGCTTAAGAATGAAATTATTTGGAAAGGAAGTGATGAAATATGCCTCCGAATTCTGTGCCAATGCTAGGAATCTTGTGAATGAAACAAATCTAAGTGTTTCCCTTAACGGATTAAACTTTAAAGCAGTGGACACCATTTGAGACTTAGCTCAGTGATCTAAATTGAGTGCATTTGCAGGATTTAATTTGCCTAAAGTAGTGTTAACAAACTGAAAACATTTTGCATCAAAGTGAGTGAATTAGAAAGGCAGGAACAAATCTGGATTTAATATAAGCCACCATGTGAAATATCAAACCTAGTTATCAATGACAACAGGTTTTTTTTTGGGCTGTCTGTAATGGGGAAGCAGGGTTGGCAGAGGTGTTAAATTGTTTCTCGGCTTCTGCATATATCAAATAATTGAGGAATGCACGTTAACAAGCGTGACCTATGTAAATACAAGATAGATAAATGGTGGACTATAGCAACAACAGAAGTCATCATCCTCATTGAGATAGTGCATTCTGCCAGTAGTAAAACAGAAACAAAATTTAGAGGTGTAATATTATAGGTTCGTATAATGTACAGGTTAATTTCTACCATTCTGCAATTAATTCTGGTCCATTATGCTGAGGATGGGATTGCTTTTCAGGAATTACAGAAGAGGTCAATTAAATGAATAGGGATTTAGTATCTGAACTACCAAAGATGCTGAGAATTTTTTACAATGGAAAATCAATTAGAAAACTTAATTGAGGTTTCAGTGCTTTGAAGTACAGATATACTGAAACCTGATTAGTTTTTTGGCATAATACCAAATCCTGTAACTTGGAACACAGCCTCATGCTGGGGAAGGAAATAAAGTTGAGGTTTGACTAAATAGAGTTTGGTCAGTGTTTGAGTATTTTGCTCAACTGGGTAATGGGGACAGGTAAGTAAAAAAGGCTGTTTTTTTGAAGAAGGGCACAGCAAGATCGGTCTTGGTCTGTTGTATGGCATTTTAAAAATAGATGCTTCAGAAGATGTTGTTGAATGTTTAGGAATTGAACCAACACTGAGTAGGAATTAAAATTTTGTGGAGGTGTCCAAAGTGGTGGCGGAGGATCAACTCTGAAGAGGCATTTGGATTGAGGAGAAGACTTAAGTAAGATGAAAAGAATTCTGCAGTTAAAGGGCATGATGTTTGAAGCTCTTTCAACTGGTGAAGTGGAGAAAGGTAGAATTGGAAGAGACAGCTGGGATGCAAGGCTCGAAAGCATTGCAAAGGTAGAACAAAGCCATGTAGATATTTGCAATACAGATGAATGCTTCAAATATATCTTGGGTGATTTTCTTCTCTCCACCTTCATAGCAACAACCTGTAAGTGAGCAATGGGTTTAAGGTTTAAAAAAAACATGCTAGTCAGGAATTATGTATTGCATGTAAGTTACCTCATATTGGGTGTTAAAGTTATAATATTGTGGCATTCACATCTCCTTTTGGAATAAGCTTTGATTTTGTTGCTAACATTTGAATTCCTTCACTGTAACAGCGGTGGAGCTCATAGCATTTTGGAATTGGAAAGCATCAACCTTGGTCCTCCATTAGTCTAAATATGTTTTCCAAGCAAAACTGAGTCCTCTTGTGCTTGTTTAATAAATTGCCTGTTGGCGTCTTGTGAATAGGATAGGGAAATTATTCAGAGTTCATCATAGATTCAATAGAATATTGAGGTCTTTTTAAAAATACACACACTGGTACATTTTCCTGCACTTGGGAAGAAAAAATTGAAGTGATTTGATGGTAATTGGAATATAGAAGCAAGATTAAGGTATTTAGTACCTTGAGCATGTTCCACCATTTAATTAGATCACGGCTGACCTAACTCCATACACCTCCCTTTGCTCCATGTCCCTTTGTATTGTTTGGCCAACAAAAATCTTTCAATCTCTGGTTTGAAAATTAACAGTTGATCTAGCATCATTGCTGCTTGTAGAAGAAAGTTTTTTACTTTTACCACTATGTCGAAGCATTTCTTAACTTCCTGTCTAATTTTTAGATAATGCACAATGGTCCTGAACTTGCTCGACCAGCAGAAATATTTTCTCTCCTCCAACTCTGTTGAAAACTTTGATCATCCCTTCACCTTCTAATTTCCGGAAGTCTCATTCCTAGCTTGTATAATCTCTCCTTGTAATTTAACCCTTTAGAGTTCAGGGATAATGTGATGTGCAGTAGCAGTGTTTATTATGGGACAAGTGATCCCAAACTAATGATCAAAAGATATGCATTCAAATCCCACTATTGAAGCTTGGGAATTTTTAAATGACTCTACAACAGAATACCACCATCGTAGTTTCACCGTAACTATTAGTGCATGTAAAAGTTGAGTGAAGTACATGGGTTTCAGACGCATTTGAAGGAATAATTTGCTAACTTGGAAAATCAAAACAAAAATCTTTAAATAATGCAACTAACCTTACTTGTACACTTGACATGGTGAAAGAGGCAAAAGTGTGATCTGAATGTAGTAGTCCCGATGATATTAAGGCTTAGTGGAAAAGCACTGAGGATGTCACTAAACTTACTTAGCCTGCCACTGATTTCTAGAGGAAGTATGAATGTTCTCAGAATTAAGGGATGCATACTTTAACTCCTGCTGTTGTACGGATTCCATACAGTACTGGGAATTCTGTAAACTGCATGTAAATGGCTGAAACTTCTCTCCAGCTGTGGAGTCAAAGCCTAGGCTTTTGAATTTGTCTCCTTGAAAATACTTCAATAAAATAATAGAGACACAAAGCACAATATAGTGAGTATATTTATTGGAACATTTACATTTTGTAATATGTTGATATAAATGATTTTCATTTTGCAAATCATCTGGGACTTCATTAATTCATCAATATTTGATAAGTATCTGTTCATCAGTTTTACAATTTAAATGTTTCAGGTTGTCATGTTTGAGCTTGCAGTGTGTCATATGAAAGAATTTAAATGTATAGATTTTCTCAAAGTTCCTTAATATTATGCAAGAATCTGTTTCTATGCTGCAGCAAAGGAAGTGTCTGCAATTCTATTTAAGTGACTTCATACTAGATTGCAATTTGTTCCAATCTTAAGACATAATCGATAGTCTAGTTCTGTGCAAAACTGATTGCGGTTGTATTTAAGGGTGCTTCAACTAGATATATAAAGTGCCAAGTATAATTATTTAAAAGGTTTTATAGAAGTCTCCAATTTTTAAAAATGTTTTTGAACAAAAGTATGATAGACAAAAAGGCGAGTCGCGCATCTTTTATTTAGTGATCAGAACATGTACATGATACAAAGTTATTGCAACCGTTGGCTTCAAAATTAAAGATGGAGCAACTTTTTTTGTGAAGATAATACTTTAAAACATTATAATATGCATTCCTTTTAGACTTCAATGTTCAATGTTACATGTGCTTAATGATGATTTTAATTGCAAGGGGAAAAAAATCATAGCTTTTTCACATAAAGCTATGTTAAAATGAGTGAATTTCATTAATGTTTAGTTTTTGTTCACCACCTTGTTTTGCCTGGGAGCTTAATACATGTTTGCATTCAAAAACACTCGCCAAATTTCTAAAAACTACAAAGTACAAACTTTTGCTTTAAGCAGCGTACAGATTGTTCTTGACCTTGCCACCAGCAAATGTTTTTTCTCAAGCATCTTAGCTGGTAAATTCATTAATTCGGATAGCTGCTTTCATTCTTTCCTTTTTTATGCTCTTGAACATTGTGCCTATTGTTCTGCTTCAATGCCCAGAACAAAGGACTCTTGTGCTGCTTTGGTGTAGGTAACCAATGATTGCTGGCTGTATAACGAGTCTGAACGCCCTGGGAAAATCTTTTTTTTTAAAATATTAAGAGCACTATTAAAAGAAAGTTTGCATGTGAGTTTGGAAAGGATTAGCTTCAGTCTTATTCCAAGGCATCTTTCAAACTGCACACCTTCAATTTTGAACAATATTTTGTTTGAAATATTTGTCCCAATTTTAGTGAGAATGGGCTGATAGCACACCAAAAATTGCAAGGACACTCCTTATCACCTACCTCCCGTCCAGTATGATTTTTGACCAGACCAGGAAGCAGGCATTCTATACGTCTATACTCGTCCCTAAAAGAGTGGTCAGTGTGCATATGCAAATTAGAGCCCTCCTTTATCTGCGCATTCCTGATGTAATTTTGGCATTTAATTAGATTGGAGCATACATCAAGTTAAACTGATTCAATGCAGCCAAACTAGCAGTCCTTAGATTTTCAACAGCTTGAAGGGGTCATTCTATTTTTAAAAGCAGTCTGTGCCACTGATTTC